CAGAACTCCATCTCTAGTAAAAATACAAAAATTAGCTGGGACGAGTGGCAGTGGGTGCCTGTAGTCCTAGCTACTCGGGAGGCTGAGGCAGGAGAATCACTCAAACGCAGGAGGCAGAGGTTGCAGTCAGCCAAGATTGTGCCACTGCATTTCAGCCTGGGTGACCGAGTGAGACTCTATCTCAAAATAACAAAATTTTAAAAAAAAAGAGAAAGCCTTGCCGAGAAGACGGGCACTGAAGCCACAAATGGTTAGGTCCAATAGTTCATGATCATTATCTCATTCTTTCTTGTCAGGAAGGTCTTATATCAGGGAGGTTGAAAACACCACACTCTGGGTGATAACCTTGGCAATAATTTTACAGAAGATGCAAACATATTTTTCTTAATATATTGGACCTCAATGAAAAAAAGCAAAGGAAATGAGGCACCAGTTATGAATTGATTGCCTTTCCGCTCTTCAACCACTCCTCTGCATTCTGCTTTGTGATTCTAGAGCTGGACCCCATAAACATTTCTCCTTTGCCAGCTGGTGTAGAAGGCATAGAAGGGTCACGGTAAGAGGCAGAGTTTTTTCTTTCTGGTTCCAGGATTTGTTTTTACTTTGTTTTCGTTCTTTTGGCTAATCTGCCAGTGCTGGGTGGAGACCCTTTGTGCCCACTCTCCAGTGAATTTTCCCGACACCACGACAGTGGCTTCCTGTTGACTTTTGCTGGCACTCTAGTGGGTAGCTTCCTAGTAAATTTTGCTGGCACCCCGAGCGCATCTTCCTTGCCAGAGGCATGCCCACACTCCTGCAAATCTCACTGGTACTCCTTCGGGAAGTTTACTGCTCACCAGCCCCAACCTGCCACAGCTCAGCAAACTTCTTGGCCGTACATTGGGTTGCAGCCACACTCCCTCCAGCAAGAGCAGATCAGCCGGGGAGAAAGGGCAGGTTTTGAGTTTGTCCCTTCCTTGCCTGCTCTGCCTTAGCTTAGAGGTTGTGGCCACTCTCTACGTTTGCCATTCCTGCATTTTTTAGCGTTCTCCTTACCCACTTTAGTAGTTCATACCCTTTTATTAGTTAATAACGCTTTATATTTAATGTTCATTGTTCAAACTACTGGTGTGGTTTCTGTCTTGACTATGCTGATTGATACACACAACATTGAATTTAGTTCAGGGAAGGGATGTGAGAGTGCTAAGATGATACCTTTTTTAGAAATCTGACTTGATATTGAGGAATAGGTATCAGACAAAGAGCTAAAAACAGAACTACTATTTGACCCAGCAATCCTATTACTGGGTATATGCCCAGAGGAATATAAATGTGAGTGTTCATTGCAGCACTATTCACATAGCGAAGACATGGAATCAACCTAAATGCCCATCAATGAAAGATCATATAAAGAAAATGTGGTACCGATACACCATGAAATACTATGTAGCCATAAAAAAGAATGAGATCAGGTTTCTTGTGGGAATGTGAATGGAGCTAGAGGCTATTATACTTAGTGAACTAACACAGGAACAGAAAACCAAATACCTCATAATATCACTTATAAGTGGGAGCTAAATGATGAGAACTCATGAACACAAAGAAGGGAACAACAGACACTGGGGTCTGCCTGAGGGTGGAGGGTAGGAGGAGCAGAAAAACTATCTATAGAGTACTGGGCTTAATATCTGGGTGAGGAAATAATTTGTACAACAAACCCCCATGACACAAGTTTACCTATGTAACAAACCTTCACATGTACCCCAGAACCTAAAATAAAAGTTAAAAAAATATTATTTAAATGAACAATAACAAATTTGGAAAGTTTCTAAAAAAGAGAAATGGATATTAGAATGTTTAGACTTATGATAATTTAATCTGTCCCTTACTATGGCTTCTTCAAATATCAGCTTTCTTAGATTATCAATCAATCTATCTAATTTTTATTAGCAAATAATATTACAGAAAATTTGTGTAGAGAAAAACTAGGATGGTGATAATCTCAAATAATGGCCATTATAAGTTTTAAGTAGCACTGCTTCTTGATAGGAAATGTAGAAAAACTACTTTTAGAAAACAATTTTCTTCTGAATTAGTTGTTTGATATTGAGTAGTAGATCAAAGAGGCAAATAACCGCGTATAATTCTAAGGCTTCTGAGACCTTCTCAACCTGTCCCCAAATTTACTTTCCCATACTGGCTGATGCCTAAAATGCCACCTCAGTGCCAACACTTAGTGGCTGTGATACCTGGGAGGGCAGATAATACTTCTAAAATACAACGGTGTTGATAATCCACCCTGGAAATAGAGATTTTAGATGTACTTACTGGGAGTGAAATAGTGCTAACTATTCCCTAAAGCAGCGTTTCTCAAAGCACGTTCAGCTTATTCTGCAGTATGCTAAAAAGCATTAAAAAAGGATGGGGGGACACTGCTCCAGTTTAAAAAACAGCTGGACTAAAAAACTAAAGCAGGTTTCCTTACTACAGGACTTCTCAGAGCCCTTCATCTGCTAACAGGCATTACGATCCTCGGTATGGAGTGTTTCCCAAAATGTTTTGACCATGAAACCCCTTCTAAAATTTTCATACAGACACTTACAGGCTAAAAGCACAGTGAGCACGTTCTGAGAAATGCTTCCTTAGACATACAAATATTACTGTGTGGTCTAGTAGCCCTAAAAATGCACCCCCTGCCCTGGCTCTGAGGGAGTGTAATTGAATGAGGGGCCCAGCTGCTGCACACTGAGACCCATGTCTGTATTCGTGCCAAGGTCGTGCCCTCCATGAGCTGCTCCCACTCCATGACTCTATTAGGGACACGATGACAGGCCCGTTCCTTAGAGAGGCACTGCTCTGATGGGTGCCTTTGGCACATGCTTCAGCCAAACCTTGCTTCCTTCCCCATTTCCTTCACTTGGGGCCAGATGTGCTTGTGGTCCGATGGCTTTCCCAGCTTCCCCTGGCTCCCTTTGTGGTCCTGTCCCAGGCATTCCCTCTATTACACTTTCTGTATGACAGATCCCACCTTGGCTTCTGTATCTTGAAAGAGTTGGACTAACATAGTCTTGGAAGGAAGGGCATCATTTTCTGAAGTCTTGAGTCCTTTGCTTACCGTGAGGTGATATTGCACCATCCCGATCCCTCTCTTCTCACCTCCCGTTTACCTGTGGCCTGTGTGGACCAGTCCTTTTGGAACACACAAAGCCACTTAATTCCATCCTACCCCCATTCTGTCATGTTTGGCCAGCTCCTCAGCTCATATGACTTTTTCTATTCCTCGTTCTGCTTTGTGCTTCCTCTGCCCTAACTCACTTCCCGGTGTTCCATTTTCTCCCATGCTTTTCCTCTGGAACCTGAATTCTGATAGACAATCTCCCTGACATCTTTGATTTATGCTGAGAACATCTGCACCATGTCCTGTCCCTTGAGGATACTCCTTCCCTCTCACATCTGTCTCAGATTGGGAGTCAGAAGGTGACATCCTTGGCCTCGGTGCCACTTTTTGACTATTAATCCCCTTCTAGACATAAAGGAGACTGCTGTGGTCTCCAACTCTCCGACTGTACCACCCTGTTCCACCTCACTGCTATCATCCACTGATGCCTGGTTGCCCCATTTTATTCAAGACTTGTGTACATGGATAAGGGGCTTCTATTCACCCCAGCTTTCCTCATCATCCTGGTGGCTTAGTTGTCCATGTGGACCCCCACCTGGTGCCCAAGTCTCAGCTCATTAACTCAACTCCCTGGCCTTCGGTTTCTCTCCACTAATGCCCAGCTGAGATCTTCAGGTTTGTTAACATTGATTTACCACTGAATACTCACAGTAAAATTGCTCACTTACCTGATGACAACTTTTACTCCTTTGGTTTCTCTCCATTTATTCTTTCTGTAACATGTGTTACATCAAGCGCTCCAGCCTCTGACTATCAGCCCTTCCCACAGTCACATCCCTCCTTGCCTCGCTGAGACCCAATAGTCTATCGCTTAGCCATTCTCTTGTCAACACCCTGACCTCTCTAAAGCCCCAGCTTGAGATAAATTCTTTGAGTGTGTGTTTCTGAGAACAGTTGTTTAAAACCACTTAGCAGCTGGGCACAAGCTTGTAATCCCAGCACTTCAGGAGGCTGAGGTGGGCAGATTGCTTGAGCCCAGGAATTCAAGACCAGCCTGGGCAACATGACGAGACCCTGTCTCTCCAAAATATACAAAATATAGCTGGGAGTGGTGGTGTGCGCCTGTAGTCCCAGCCTCATGAGGCTGGGGTGGGAGGATTGCTTGAGCCCGTGAGGCAGAGATTGCACTGAGCCGTGACTGTGCTACTGCACTCCAGCCTGGGTGACAGAGTGAGACCCTGTCGCAAAATAAATAAAAATAAATAAAACCACTTAGCCATGTGGACAAGATCCATCCGTAATTTAAGATCTTCAACAAGCTTCCAGAGATTCTTTTAGATTCCCTGGTAACCCTTCTGAGTGTCACAAATTGTCACTTTATCCCATTTTCCATCAACTATTTGAAGGTACTTAAAGCTTCCAGTCTCTTCACCTCCGCTCTAACTACCCCTTTACTCTCAGGAAATGATCTCATCTTCTCCTTTTCTCAGAACGCCTCAACTCCTTGGACCCACCTTCAAATGTAATTGTGGTATGTCTACATTTTTCCTCTATTCATGGCCAGAGTTGCTTCTCTTACACCAAAGGCTAATCTCTCTCCCCTTGCACTCTGGATCTCATTCCGTTTAACCTTCAACATTTGTTTCCACATTTTCTTTGAGTTCCAACTTTTTCCTCTCTATTATTCAGAATTTTTTTCTTTTTTTTTTTTTTTCTTTTTTAGACAGAGTCTCGCTCTGTCGTCAGGCGCCAGGCTGGACTGCAGTGGCACAATCTTGGCCCACTGCAACCTCTGCCTCCCAGGTTCAAACAATTCTCCTGCCTCAGCCTCCCGAGTAGCTGGGACTACAGGCACACGCCACCACGCCCAGCTAATTTTTGTATTTTTTAGTAGAGATGGGGTTTTACCATATGGGCCAGGATGGTCTCGATCTCTTGACCTTGTGATCTGCCCGCCTCGGCCTCCCAAAGTGCTGGGATTACAGGCTTGAGCCACCGCGCCCAACCTATTCAGAATTTTTAAATGCTCAGATCCCTCCCTTAAATAAAGATTACAAACCCATCCTTGACCTCAAACATTGTTCTGACCATTTACTGTCTCTTCTCCCCCTCTTCAGGCAGCTTCATTAGTTGTCCAAACTCTGTTTCTACTTCATCACTGCTCAGCCCCCACTCTACACCCTGCAGCCTGGCTTCTGCCCCCACCATTCCACTGAGATTGGTCTCCCTGGATTCATCCACACATCCTTGTGGTTAAGTGTAATCAGCTGCTGGGGCAGCTAATGCATCATGTGCCCATGAACAGAGGGTATCCAGGATCTCCCAGCTCTCCAGCACTATAGACAATGACAGCAACAAGAAAACCCCAACGTCAGTCCAGCCCACAAACACCATTACATTTAGAGCTTCCCAAGCTGAAGCAGTGCCTAAGACTTTTTTGACACCTGTTAAAATGTTACAGAATCTAAAAACATTAATACAGGACTTTGCAGTGAAGATGACAGGGTAAAGCAGGGTAGCAGACTCTTTCCTCATCTAATATCTCAATGACCAAAGACTAGTGTTAAACTCTAAAATTTGATGGCAGGGACTGAACAAGAAATAGGGCAGAATCTTACATCAAAACGTTGAAACACGGTGCTTTAGAGATATGCCTAAACCCAATCCTACTGGGTTTCCCAATCCTATGGAAGAAAGAAGGAAAATAAACCCTGAGAACTGTCTAATACTCTCCAATTAGGAGACAAGTGGCCTTGGAGGGTGGAAGGAAAACAAAAATATTTCTTCAGTTTGACTTGAAAAACAAGGAAAAAATTTTAAAAAGACAAGACAAGAAAAAAGAATTTAAAAAACGGATTGAGTTAAAGCTCCTACATTCCAGAGGGTAAAAGGGTTTCTAGGACTTTTCATAGTCCAGAACAATGTGCTGAGTTAGGACAATAAGACACATTCCGCAAGAGTGGAATACACCCTTGTAGACACTGAGTTGGCCCTGCTATAAAATTTGTTGCTTATTTAAGATTTTGATTTTTTATACAAATATTTTTAATGAAATAGTGATCTCATCAAATCTTTCAGGGTTCTACTAGTATGGAGAGCTTTGTTGAAGACATACAGAGCTTTATTAGCTCTGCCAGGTATCACTCACGGTGATCCACCTCCTTGTGTGTCTTGCAGTCTCAACATGAGTGTGTCTTGATTGGGGATTATTTTCTCTGCAGCAGCTTTTCATGGCTTGAAGTGGGAGTGCTCCTTTCCAGAAGAGTTTTGAATTTGTTTCAGCCAGGAGCATTGAGGGTATCGATGGCCTGATATGAATTTTCCCAGCCTGATTTTGGGGTCTTCCATTTTCAGGGTATTACAAAACTGTGCATGAAGCACAGGTTTTTTTTTTTTTTATTATTATTATGATACTTTAAGTTCTGGGGTACATGTGCAGATCGTGCAGGTTTGTTACATAGGTATACACATGCCATGGTGGCTTGCTGCCTCCATCCCCCTGTCACCTACATTAAGTATTTCTCCCAATGTTATCCCTCCCCAATCTCCCCACTCCCTATCATCCCTCCCCTAGCCCCCCACCCCTCAAACAGACCCCAGTGTGTGACGTTCCCCTCCCTGTGTCCATGTGCTCTCATTGTTCAATATCTACTCATGAGTGAGAACGTGTGGTGTTTGGTTTTCTATTCTTGTGTCAGTTTGCTGAGAATGATGGTTTCCAGATTCACCCATGTCCCTGCAAAGGACATGAACTTATCCTTTTTTACGGCTGCATAGTATTCCATGGTATATATGTGCTACATTTTCTTTATCCAGTCTAGCATCGATGGGCATTTGGGTTGGTTCCATGTCTTTGCTATTGTAAACAGTGCAGCAATAAGCATACATGTGCATGTGTCTTTATAACAGAATGAGTTATAATCCTTTGGGTATATACCCAGTAATGGGATTGCTGGGTCAAATGGTATTTCTATTTCTAGATCCTTGAGGAATTGCCACACTGTCTTCCACAATGGTTAAGCTAATTTACACTCCCACCAATGGTGTAAAAGTGTTCTTATTTCTCCACATTCTCTCCAGCATCTGTTGTCTCCTGATTTTTTAATGATTGCCACTCTAACTGGCGTGAGGTGGCATCTCAATATGGTTTTGATTTGCATTTCTCTAATGACCAGTGATGATAAGCTTTTTTTCATATGTTTGTTGGCTACATCAATGTCTTCTTTTGAAAAGTGTCTGTTCATATACTTTGCCCACTTTTTGATGGGGTTGTTGGTCTTTTTCTTGTAAATTTGTTTTAGTTCTTTGCAGATTCTGGATATTAGCCCTTTGTCAGATGGGTAGATTGCAAAATTTTTTTCCCATTCTGTTGGCTGCCGGCTCACTCTAATGCTTGTTTCTTTTGCTGATGAAGCACAAGTTTTGTGTTCTCAGAGATTTTTCCCCCTATCACTTACAGCCTAGGCAAGAATAGATAAGCATTTGTGTTCTCTTCTGCCTGTGGGTGAATTTCTTCTAGTCCCCCTTTTCCCAAGTGCCAGCTTTCTTCAGGATCTCTCAGTTCCAGCTCCCCTTATCTCATAGCCTCCAGCCTTGCTCTCTGCGCCATGTTGGAGTTGCACTGACATGACCTTTTTGAATGCATGTGACCTTTGTTTTGTCTGTATCAGATAGTGACCAAAATGGTCTCTCTCCATCAAGTAGTGTTTCAATGAACATTTGTTGAAAACTGTGGTTCATTTATTCATCTCGTAGGTATTTAGTGCCCACTGTCTTATAAATCTTCCTTTTGCCTTCCCATATCCACTCTACTCTCTACCCAGCTTTATTCCAGGGTTGGGGGGCTTACCTTGTTAATAACAGGTGCCCCATCTTTCAATTTTCAGTTGTGTTTTGTTGATGGGGAATTTTAGGCAGAAGATTGGAGAGCAAGGTGAGGGGAGTCAGGCCCTGGCTCCCTTCTGATGGACTCTCAGTGGGCTGGTGTGTCCCTTGACCTAAGGGCAGCTCTTGTCAGACAGCTTCCTCCCCTGCATCTTCTGGCCTTGCAGTGGGAATGGTGATCTGCTCGCACTGGCACCAGGCACCACGCTGTGTATTGCGCCTCCCTATACCCTGCCCAAATCTTTGTATGGAATCCTTCATTAAACTCAGCTTAGTTGCCCTACTTAAGTGTGCTATTCGGTTTCTGCCAAGCTCCTGAAGGACATCTCTCCCCAGTACCAGGAACTTTGTCAGACCCTGGGGAGAAAATAGTGAACAAAGTGGAACTATCCTGTGCCCTCATGGCACTGGCATTCTAGAGAGAGATGCAGGTACAGAGCTGATTATAATTCAGGGAGTCATGTACCAAGTGCGGGGAGCACACAGGTGCAATGGGAGCCATCCCAAGGGTGCCTGGCCTGGGTCACAAGGGGCAGGGGAAGGTTTCCCAGGATAGGCATCACCTCAGTCAAGGACGTATGGATGGGAGCTGGCCAGGCAGAGAGTGGACCTCTTGCTCCCCTCCTCCCTGCCTCCTAATGTCTGCTTTTCAGGTTCTCGAGGGACCATTTACTTGTCTCTCAGAGACGGGGCAAGAAAAGAGAGAGTGATAGAATTCAAGGTGGTGACATTTTATTACTTATTGGCACCTGTGACTAAGTCTTAGTGAAAGAGAAAATTGAACCAAGTGTCAGACTATTTTAGGTTGGATTCCCGGGAATCCAGGGCTTGGGCTCTCTGAGAGGGAGGGTTGTATGCAGCAGACTTGTGGGGAGGGCTTCCAGGAGACACAGCTGGGAAGGAGAGAACAAGCCAGGACCATGCAGAGGAAGAAGCTGTCCACAGCGTGGTCACAGAGGAGGCCTCGGTTATTCCTATAAGGAATTATTGCTTGAGGGGAGGGTGCCAGGCCTCTGCCATCCCACATTAGCCAGTCATTGGCTCAGTCATCCCTGGGGATGGGGCATTGTCTGGGCAGGCAGTTCCAGTTCCCAAAAAGGGGAGTGGCTGTGAGTCCCAGCACCTCTGTTTCCATCTACAGGGGTTGGGGGGTGGGGGGTACATTGGCCTGAAGAGGGCATCTGGCCAGAGTCCCACAGCATCTACTGTACAGGCGGAAGGTCCTGAATTTCCTGCAAATTTCATTTACCCTGAATGATAGAGAATGGAAACTGAAATTTCCAAAGCCACAGTGTCACAAGAACACAGAACCCACAAGTGAGCACACTGAAGGAGGAAGTCACATGCGCAGGAGGTCACACTGCCCACTCGCTCAGTGTGTGGGCTGCTGCTGGAGACTCATCCATCATCATCAGAATATGAAGTGCCCCGTTTTCACAGGGTCAGTCGGGTTGGGCAGACACTGGTCTGATAGGAATCATCTTAAATTGATAAGAAACGTTTCTTTTATGAATAGAGGTAAAAATTAATACACTAAGTAGCATCCTCATTTAAAAAATATTCACTTGAGTAAAATTAAATGACAACACATGGTAACTGTGCAGGAAAGGGTTTGGGCCTGGTCTTCAGCCTGGGCGGTGAGGCCCCTAAGCTGGGGGCTGTGAAGGCCCTGCTTTTTCCTTCTCAGGGCTCCCCCAGTGACAGTCCCGGAGGCTCCACAGAGGCTCCAGAGCCTCTCCCTTCCAGGCCCCACTACCTCCTAGCACTTACTGGAGCCAGCTCCTACATCTGCACAGAGTCTACATTTCCCATCTCAGCCACACCCTGAAAGACCCCTTCCTACCTGGTAAACCAGGACCTTCAAACTGCAGAGGCTGGTCCTGTCCTCTCAGGAACGTTGAGAGCTTGGGAGCAGAAGTTGCACTTTTCTAGGGGGAAGGAGGGAACAAGACCTTGTATTCTTTTGCCATGAGTGGGCAGAGGAGGAGACCAGGCAGGAGTTACTAAGTCGTTTTGCATTCTGATTGCATCACGGGGTTTTGTGGATGTTTTTTTCCATCCTCACCTTACTCTATGTCTCCACAGCGTTCAACGTTGCTGACACTTCCTCTTAAGGCCTCTCTCCTGGGCTCCTGCAAAGCCCCAGATTTGGCTGTGCCTGTCTTGGCACATCTCCTCATTGTCCTTTAGGTTCTTTAGGGCTCCCTTTGCTGCCTGTATTCCTCGGGGTTCCGCTTGAGCTATTTAGTCCACCCCTACGGCATCCACTGCCTGTGACCCCAGATGTAGATCTCCACTCAGTTACTCTGCTGAGTTTAATGTCAGCACATCCCGCTTCCCCTGACACTGCCACCCGGAGGTCCCCCAGGATTTCCAACTCAGCCTGTCCTAAAAACCAAGCTCACTGACTTACATCCTAAAACCAGCGCTCCCCATTTAAATGGGCCAGGACCCAAGCCTCGATCACCTGCCTCCCTAAAAGTCCTGATGATGCAAGTCTTCCCTTGCAGCCCTCAGATCCATTAACTTGTGTCCACTCAGGGCTCTCCTACCTTGGCAGAGGCCTCTGCTATGTTCTGGAGAGGGCATGGCCAAACTGCACCTAGGGGCTCTCCTCCATCCTTGCCTTCC